GAATTTCGAATAGTTAATTTGATACTAATATCGATATATTTTTGTCAAATTTTTATGATATATTCAAACATATATTTTATTCAAAAATAAAAACATCATCGCTATCTCAAAATCACATAAAGCTATATTATAACATCGACTGAGATAAATAATAAAATGAAATATTAAAATCACGATATATCTCGCTGCATTGCGCGAGTACGTTTCTAGTATATATATATATATATATATATATATATATATGAATAAATATTTTGAATACTTACACTTTAAACTTTTATAGTTAATTATTTAATTTATGGTACATCTCTTTGTTTTTTTTTTTTTTTTTTTACACTCTTATCACATTAACATACATAATCATTAGCTAAAATACGTTAAAAAATTCGTTTTATTTTAACAAGTTACACCATTATAATCGTCTCTTCAATCTCTTCGAAATTAAATCAAATATATAAACCCAATAATGAATATTATTTAAAAAGTTGAAGGGTTAAAACTAAAAATAACAAAAGGTTAAAACTAAAAAATAAAATAAATTAGATTTAATGTATTTTATGTAGTAGGGTGTATAGAAAAAGTTGGGAAAAAAAGGAGGGGGATAAAAAAGAAGAAAAAGAAAATGACGTTGCAGGATCCAGCTTGCTTATGAGAATTGAGTATTTGCATAGTGATAGTACTGATGTTTTACGTCATTTGATTTGCTAACCCTCCAATATTAGCTCCAAGAGCATATATCTTCTTTGCATTGGGTGAGCAGCTGAATAGGGATCTACAGGTACATGCTTTATCATTACAATTAAAAGAGATTTTTTTTTTGTGATCTTTCATTGTCTAGTAGATTTTGGGTATAAATATAAATATAAAAAAATATAGATATAGATAGATGAATCAACCCACAAAGTACAACCTTCTCATATTGTTACCCCTCTTCTCTTATGCTCTTGTACTTCCCCCACCCCCCCATTTAATGTTGCAAGTTGGACCCTTCTTCCCTACCCTTCACCTCGAGACCCCCATTTAATTGTGTTCTTGATGAAGAAATCCATTTTTCTCTCTTCTTCATCTTCTCCATCTTGAAGTGATCAAGAAATCTTTCTCTCCTTTCTTTTGCTGTTAAGATTCTCTTAAAGAAAGAAAGAAAATACATATATATGATCAGGTAAGTGAGAAAGACATTTGAAAAACTTTAACATGTTTTTTGATTGTTATTGTTATTACTGAAAGTTGGAAAAAAGAAAGAAAGAAGAGAGGTTGGTGTTGGTTGCCATACATGATACAGGGAACTCCAAAAATTTATGTACAGAAAAAATGTTACATCGTTTTGAAGTTTTCCTATGATTCTTGAAACTTTTTKCCTTCTCTTTCGTARGTTATATCCATGACCCTTCTGTATTTTCTTCATTTCTGCCTTTTCGTAGAGTTCTTCAAAGATTCTAGCTATATAAAGCAGGTTTCATATTGTTGAATTAATAAACATAATTTCTGGTTACACATTGTTTGATATCAAGAATGCTTTTTTTCCCCAAAAATCAATGATTTTTTTTTGCCAAATGCACAAAAATGAAATGGAAACAGCTAGCTTTACACACTGGATGCTCATTGATCAATATTCCAATCTACTGAGCATCGTGCCCAATTAGTAGGAACAAGAATGAACAAGTAGAAAGAACACATACAAAAAAAACCAAGATATTCCAAAACATGGGTAGAGAATACAAACAGTAGGAAGAGAAAGAGAATTCAGAAAGCAAAATTAAAACCTCAATACCTCAGAGAAATTGCTAGGGTTTTGAAGAATTTGTGAAGAAATCAAAACCTCAGAAGTCTGGTTATATGCACCGATGAAGGCTTCTTGGTAACCACCCATTTATGCAAAGTTTGCAGCAATTAAAGAAATTGTATGCTGACTTTACTGATTTGGTTTTGGTGCAGAACATACATCAACAAGAAGCTGGAAAAGAATAAAAAAAGAGAAAACAATTTTGACTTTACCCAAACTGATTTGACTTTGAAGGATCTTTTCTGAAAAAGGAAGAGAAGAGAGAAAGAAGTCCGAACATTTGCCATCCAATGCATAAAAGCTTGTACCACATGTATTATGAGTTGTAATTAAGAGTTTTTTGAATTTTCTTGCATAAAATGGTTGTAATCTATGCTTCAAGAGTTGTAATTAAGATAATGACCTAAATGGTTATATATGTAGTATAGATTGTATATATTCCATTAATAAACTTATTTTGTTGTATTATTATATTTTTATAAAAATAATAATAGTAAAAATTAACGTTTAATGATTTAAAATTTAGTAGATACAAATTTATATGAATTTTTATAGCGAATACTTAATATTGAATAAATTAGGTACATTTTTTTTATATTAAAATTTAGAGTCGTAGTGAGAGGGGTAGTAAAGTCAAGCCTTCTATTATTGTTGCAGGTGTTTTGGTGTGAATGTTTGCTTAATACTACATAACCACCCCTACAACAAAATAACCGCTATCCAAACGAAACGAATCCTTGCATACACCAAGAATTACTAACAGTTATGTTAGGATATGATCTTTAATCATTTGAATTAATTATGTTTTGTACTCATATTTTCCATTTTGTATTGCCAGTTTTTAGTTATCACATTTAAGTATACTAGGGTGCTCAAAACCCGACCAACCCAACGCAAAATAACTCAACCCCGAAGCAACCCGATGTCTAATCGAGTTGTAAAATTGTCAAACCGTATGTATCGGGCTGATATTGGGTTACTATTATTTGAACCCAACCCAACCCGATGAACCGATATCCTTTTATTTCTTGGATTTAATATGATTGTTGAATTTCTATGAAAATATATACATTAGACAATTACACTATCATGTATGCTCTTCATATTTTCAATTTATTCACATCTCTATATAACTCATTCGTATATATGTTCAGTAACTGTGAACATACATATGTAAATTGAGAAAATTAACTGAATGTGATATACGTAAGAAGTATGGATAAGTTGTATCAAATGGTTGATGATGAAAAAGAAATTATGAGTAGAGAAATAACATATTTTTAAGGTTAGGAGAATATTTTGATGTATCAAAATATCAACCCGACCAATCCGATTAACCCGACCAACCCGTACGGGTTGGATTGGGTTAAGATTTTTCAAATCGTAAGCATTGGGTTGGGTTGTTCAAATGTCTTCAACCCGATCAACCCAACCCAACCCAACCCAACCCAACCCAACCCGTAAGCACCCCTAAACTATACTGTACATTCTATGCTACAATATTTTACGGTTATAACTTTCAAGCACAAAATAAAACACAAAAGAAACATTCAACAACAATAGTAATAAAAGAAATGTACAAATTTATATAGACAAATTATATTTAAAAAAGAATTTTTAGGAAATGAAGTGTATGGGACCGTGGCATGCAATAGCTATAAATTAAGACCTCACATGGTGGTTCCAACAAATAAGGCCACATGAATATAATACAATTTAAAACCCATATATCAATTATTACACGAATTAAAATCGTATCCTTTTTCTTTATATGTTATAATAATGCATTGTCTCGTAGGTAGCAAACAAGCCTTGGAAAACTAATCTCCATCGAGAGGATAACATTAACATATGCATCAAGATAACGTCCACCATAACATTTCTATAAATTTATCACTAGATTGGATTTTAGTATTTGTCCATAATAATTGTCCATCGCATCTTACAGACCAATTTTGACTGACGAATGCTTTACATCTAAAAACGGTTGGAATTGCCACAGGTGTCCACTAGATATATGTGTAACATTTATTACAAAATAAGTAGATAACAACATTAAAAAATGACTGTTTGGAAGACTTAATAACTAGCAGCTAGCAGCTGAATATCGACTTTAATTTCTGAGTAGAACATCTGTAATTAGTTTATGGAAGTTGATATAAGATGATCCACCAATAGCCACGTCTTCTTCGGCCTTCTTCTTCCACTCCAAACTCTTGTTCTTCATCATCTTCCCTTTCTCTCCATCCATTATCTCCCTCACTTGAACCTCCACCTCCTCCCTCTTCACATCCGTATTGATTTCCATCCCAATCCCCCATTCTACACAACTATATCGACAATTTGTTTGCTGCTCTGCAAAAAAGGGCCAACAGATCAGTGGAATCCCGTTGCTAATACTCTCAATAGTCGAGTTCCAACCACAATGAGTCAAGAATCCTCCTATTGCCGGGTGCTTCATAACCTGTTCTTGTGGGCACCAACTAGTCACCATACCTCTCCCTTTGGTCTCATCGACAAACTCTGGTGGCATCATGGCTTCATCACCTCCAACAATATCTGGTCTCGTTATCCACAAGAAATCTTTCTTGCTATTAGCAAGCCCCCACCCAAACTCGATGAGTTGTTCTTTTGTCATGATCGTAATACTTCCAAAGTTCACGTAAATAACTGAGCCAGGGTCTTTTGTGTCGAGCCAAGTGATGCAGCTCGTATCCTCCTTCCACAGGTTGGACCCAATGGGGTTGAGTTGATCATCATGAATGTGTTGTTGCATCAAGTGAAGTGGACCTATGCTAAAGGTTCGTGGGTTCTTGGCGATTAACGGTGTAAGACTGTCTTGTTCTAAGGCGTCGAATGTGTTGATCACGACAGCCGAACCTTTAGGGAGAGCTTCAGATTCCGTCATGAGATAATTGAGCATGGTATCATTTATGTCTGTGGTTCGAATGAAGCTCGGGAAATCCCGTAATTTGATGTCCTTGTTCATCCCTTGGATCCAATCCAATCTTGTTTCCAAGTACCCATTTGTCACGTCACTCATATCTGTAATATTGAAAGCCAATTATCACTCAGTAGGATGTTATATCCAAACTTAAACAAGTCTTTCGGAAGTTCACCGATAAAACTTTGGGTCTCTTTCACTAAATTACAAGAGATATAGGCTACGTTTGATAGCTAATAAGCGAACGGATAAATAAATTATGTTTGGTAAAAACTAGCTGAAAAACATGTAAAATGATAAAAAAAATAGCATCTTAAAAAATAGTCGTTCACAATATTTTATAATATAATTAAAACAAATCTCTAATAATATAATATGTTAATTAATACAAACAAAATATTAAAAATAAATAAATAATATAATATGTTAA